TTCTATCTCGGACTTCACAGGCTCAGGCTCGACCACATGTGACTTCGAGAAGTCCGACCTGGAGCCTGAATTACGAGGAATGATTTCCTCCACAATGGAAAAGCTTTCATCCTCTGCAACAATGGCTTCCCCTTCATCATGAGAGGGCATGACCACTGACAATGGAACCGGGTCAGGGTCCCCTCAGGGTTGGAAGATGCACTAGCCATCTTTTGTTACGTATATGCGTAGGAATTGAAAGTGCAGTAGAAGTGATAATGGCGAAAGTTGCTGAAAGCAGGAATGCAAGAGCTCTGAGAAGAAGAAAGAAAAGCTTAGAGGTTCGAATGCTTGAAAATGCAGCAAACCAAATGAAAGGTTCCCATCCCTATTTATAAGAATGCAGGCACCCTAATCGAGACAATTAACCGTTAAATGCACAGGAATCGAAACAACAGGGACACGAAAAGCGATGCAACGCATCGGGAAGATGCGTAATGATGACACATGAGGCCGTGATGTCACTCTAAATCAATGTCATTACGTGTGTCTTCAAAATGCCACATCACCATCTCGGCCGCGATCCTCACCACTCGACCTCCCTATCCAAATTTCTAAAACCATGACTAATGAAGTCCGCTCATTGAGGTCGACCAAAAGATGACCTCGATAAGCGGAGGGACTAACTGTATGGGTCAAAATCGAACTAAAGAAATAGTCAATATGGGCAGTTTGGCCGAGGTCGATCAGTGATCAATAGGACAAGCAGCTGAGTGGTTCATCAAGCCGAGGCCGAGCAGCACATACAGAAGTAACGACTAGTATAGCTTTGGAACCTTCAAAGGGAATATTCAATATCCCTCTGTTCGTACCTTTTTAGGTTCTTTGGGAATATCCCATATAAATAGTATGAAAGATAAGACAAAAGGCATGTAAGGTTCCGTATGATAAGAATACATTTGAAAAGTAAGCTCTCTAGATAAATACAAAGAACAACTTTCTGAAGAGATTTGATCTTTTTGGCTCATCCATTGTCATTTCTACCAGATCCGAGAAAGTGCCCAATATTCTCTTATATTCTTCTCATTCATCATTTTCAGAGGAAGGAATCATTCACCCCATTCAATATTGGGTGAATCTTCTTCCTTATTTACATTTAGTGCCATCCATTGTATTTATTGCTTATCATTATCCTCTTTCTACTAGTAACCATAACACTTAATGTGTGTTGCATTAAATCCATTTTCACACGGTCCTCACGTTATTCGCATAAACTTGTTTTAGATCCAAGATTATTATCTTTAACTAGGATTAGCCCCTTATCGTTTTACTTAATTAGTTTAACAAAAGGTTTCATACTTTTTGGTCAAACATTTATCCCTACTTGGAGGGATAGAGAGGCTGTTTCCGAGAGACCCTCAGCTCAAGAAGACGATTATGTGTGCTAGAATCAAAGAGGAAAAAGTAGTGATATCTTGTGTTTCAAAAGAATTAGAGTTTAACTTAATTGTCCTTATAGATAACACAGGTCACCATTTGCAAGTTTAATCAAACAAAGAAATGCAGTGGATAGCTAGAGAGAGGAAGAGCCAATTTTGTTGTAAGCTTGAAATCTGAATGCCGCGGTGCGGACAGAATACAATCTACATTGAAGTCCAATATGTTTTTTCGTTTCCAAATGCATAAATCTTATATTACGTTGATTTGAAGGCTACCAAAATTTTGAGATTTGGATGACTTTTCAAAAATATTAAGAAAAAAGAGCAACAAAATAATTAATAACTCTTTTCGATTTGACTCGACTAATCCAGATTAATGCCATGTAACTTAAGGGGTTATAAAATGCTCCTTTGTCAGAAGTTCTTCATTCTCATAACTCGAAGCGAAATCTCTTATATTAAGGGCGAAAGATCCATACATTTAGTACATATCTTGGTTATAACAAAATAACTCTCGCCAATATTGGACTCTACCTTGACCACTTTAACTAAAATGAGATTAGAGCGAACTAGTTGTAATATGTATTCGTATTCTTTCCATTTCATTATATATATATATGGTGAGTTTTGACTGAACACGAAATTTAAGAATAAAAAAAAAGAATTTTAACACTTACAAAAAATAACCTATGAACTTATGGTCTTAAAACTTGAAATTCAGCCTAGGTTGGACCTGCCCTAAAAGATGTTGATTTGGGAAGATATAGTCCATGAAAGATTCAGTGGTGATAATAATGATGATGATAAATTAGAAGATTTTTGGTACAGTGTAGAAGTTTCTTTAAAGTTGCTCAAACCGAATTGGATTTGGTGTATGATAAGATGCCAATGGATGATTGAGAATATGCCACAGAATTGTGCAAAAGGAACAGTTACTATCCCAATAGAAAATTGGAAGTACAGTAGGCATATGCCCTTTTAGTTTTAGAACAAAACCTACACATTATCATTATTATTATTATTATTATTATTATTATTATTATTATTATTATTATTATTATTATTATTATTATATTATATCAATAATAACAAATGTTTAGAGGCGAGTTCAAATGCTCCAAGTTCTTTAAACCTTGATATGTACTATGTATCGAGTTTATTTTGATGGATTTATAAGAATCATTATTTTAAAACAAGGGTAATCCATAATAATATAACCAGAAATGAAAAATTTTAAACCTAACAAGCGCAATTAGAGACACTAGTATTGTTTTTGTGAAGGTTCGTCACAAGAATATTGTACAATGGCCTTTTCGTTTTTGAACCAAACTACGCAAAGGAAAAAGATAAGAAAAAATATTTAATCACATGGGCAAGTTGAAGCAATATAATGTCCAAAAAAAAAAGGGGAAAAAGAAAAAAAAGCAACAACCACCAATTACCGCCTATTTAAAAATAGGCACATGCTAAAGTCATTGGCATTTAAAGAATATTCCAACGAATTTTAAGGAAAAATAATAAAACAATGTATACCCTAAGATCTAAAGAGTCTCATTATTTTAAATTCAGCATTAATTGCACTGTCGAGATTATCCAGCTTCGCCTACCTCCTTCAAAAAAAAAAAAAAAAACACATGCTAAAACATTTTAAACTCATACACTCTTTGCAATTGGTTAGAAAAAGGTGTCAAAAAAGGAATATTAGGAAATGAATTTTGTACGAAAAGTTTGAATAGACAAATAATTAATTAATATCATAAAGAAATTGCTAATTTGAGGAGACAAATTTGACCAAAACACTACCCCATTGAAAGTTGAAATTAGAGGTGAGAAGGGTGACCTAAATACCACAAAAGATGTGAATTATTATTAACAAAAAGGAGAAATGACAAACTTTGACCAAATGACGGAGCCCACTAACATTAGGTAATACTATTTGTTACTATATTATATAAATTTTGGGGGGGATTGTTCCACAAATACGGATAGTTTTGTCTCCACAACTCAAACCACCAATACATATTTGGTAAAGACAAATCGAAAATGACCCCTTAGTCCTTATGACTTATCCACACAACTCTTTCCCTTTGATCGCTTTTGAATACTCGCTAATTCCAAACCTAATCCATTTCGTATCTTCCTATTCTATTCCCAAAATACCCCTCTATTTTTGGCTTTCTTCTTTTCTAAAAAACCTTTTTGCACTTCTCAGTGCCTTAGAGCACGTTTGGACATAAAAAAAAGATTTCACTTTTTTTCGATTTATTTTTTACCTTTTTTCGAAATCAGTGTTTGGCCATAAAATTTCCAATTTTCACTTGAAGATAAATTTTGAAAATTTTCGAAATTTGAAAAATCACTCACAAAATTTTAAAAACAACCCAAAATTATATTCATGTCCAAACACAACTCTAATTTTTAAATACCATTTTCATTTGAAATTTTTTTTCACTCTTTTTTGGAATCTTACATTTTCTTATGTCGAAACGTGCACTTAGAAGGGGCGCGCATTGTTTGATTTCTCAAAAAGAAAATAAAAAAATTCACCTTAACTAAAAATATGGGATTTGAATCACAAATTCAGACTAATTATGGTCCCAATACAAATATAAAAGTATTAAATACCGTGCGAGAAGCAAAAAAAGAAGAAGTAACATACACATTAAATTTCGTTTTCTATGGAAGAAAATAATCATTTGTCGTTACAAGTCATAGTTCTAAGTTACAATCATTCTTCCTCCTCTCACTTGAAGATCCTGTAGTAGTATATTCGGTAATTTCCGGTGGAATAGATTCAAGCAAAAAAATACCTCAATAAAGAAAAAGAAAAGAACGAATTACAACACAATCATAAACTTTATCAAATAAAGCTAAATATTTTAATTTATAGAAATCAACATTAATATATTTTCTTAAAACTGATTTGATTTAATTTTTTATCTTATACAGTAAACACCCTTAAGTAGTGATAGAGAAAACAGAAAAGGGCAAAATAGAACTTTGACGACCTCAAACCAGGTATATGTGACATTAATACGCCCACCATCCCACCAAACTCCCTGACCAGAAACCTTATCCCTACCCCTCCTCCCCCCAACCCAAAACTCTAATCTTTACCCATCTCCAAATACAAGGACACGAGAAAGTTGCAGCCCACGTGTAGCCAAGTAGACATGCTGGCGTCACGGATGACGTAGCTCATTTGCCAGGTCATCAGCCGTTTCATTTCTCACGCCTTATCCGCCAACTACACCCTGGATATGCCACGTGGGATAAACTCCTGTCCCCACTTTAATCGTAAAATTTTATATTCCTATGCTTCGCATACCCACAGTAATTATCAGCTGTATCCATCCTCCGAAAGCCACGTGTAAAGTTACTAATCCTCACCTTACGTGGCCTTGTATTTTTTGTTAACAAGTCCATTGGAATAGCGCGTGACAAGAAAGACAAGTAGACTGCCATTTGTTCTGGCAAAGAAGAAAAAAGAAAAGAAAAAAGCCAGTTGGCATAAGTACGCGTCTGCTGGCCGACCTTATCCTCTTTTTAATTTTTGCCATATAAAAATGTTTTTTATTTTTGGTTTATAGTTTAATGAAAAGTAATTGAAATGGACATTGATAGAAAGAAAGATCAATGAAGTGTGAATAGATAGAGAGAGAGAGACTAAACCCTAGATTTCTTTCTGACTGACAGCAGAGAGTATTTTGCTATTTTGACCAACAAAGAGCTTTGTTATAGTACATGAATATTTTCGATCAGTATTGACAAAGGTTAGTGCTTAAAGTTTTTATTTTTGAACATTTAGTAAAATTAATATTGTTATTGTTGTGTATGTACTAATTATGTGAAAAGAAAAAAAATTGTTTTTTTCAACTGTGAATATTGCTAATGGAGTTGTTAAACACCACATGCATGTATGGTGATTATTAGGTACTAGTTGGATTTGATCTTGTTTCGTTTAAAAGTTGAGTTTTTTTTCTCTATATTTAGCATATGTGTTTCTGTTTTAATGCTTGGATCCTATTCCAGTTTGATGTTTTTGCTTCAACTGTTATTTTCTTTTTTTTTCTTCAGTTTAATGAGTTTATTTTGATTCTTCGATGAAATCTATTTTTCAGATCCTCTTGAATTTTACTTGGGTGTGATTCATACTGAGGAAGTTGTTTTGATGTGTGTGGTTTTGATTTTTTGGAACAGAAAAGATAAGGTACTGTTTGTTCTGTGTTGTGGATTTGAGTATTTAGTGGAGGTGTTTCTGCAAATAAAGGGTTGTGAAGATGTTGTCCAAATCGTATACCAACTTGCTAGATCTAGCATCTGGGAATTTCCCAGTGATGGGCCGCGAGAAAAGGCGGCTGCCACGGGTTATGACAGTTGCTGGAGTTATTTCTGAGCTTGATGATGATCAAGCTAACAGTGTTACATCAGATGTTCCATCATCTATTATTGTAGATCGAATAATCATAGTGGCTAATCAGCTCCCTGTAAAAGCTAAGCGTAGGCCAGATAATAAAGGATGGAGTTTTAGTTGGGATGATGATTCATTGTTGTTGCACATAAAAGACGGTTTGCCAGATGATATGGAAGTTCTCTATGTTGGTTGTTTAAGGGTTGAGGTTGATTCAAGCGAACAGGACGATGTTTCGCAGTTACTGTTGGATAGGTTTAAATGTGTTCCGGCTTTTCTCCCACCAGACATTTTATCTAAATATTATCATGGTTTTTGCAAACAGCATTTATGGCCACTTTTCCATTATATGCTTCCATACTCTGCAAGTCATGGCAGTCGATTTGATCGGTCATGGTGGGAGGCATATGTTGCAGCAAACAAGATATTTTCTCAGAAGGTGATTGAGGTGATAAATCCAGATGATGATTTTGTCTGGATCCATGATTATCATTTAATGGTTTTACCTACATTCTTGCGTAGGCGTTTCAATAGGTTGCGAATGGGCTTTTTCCTGCATAGCCCTTTTCCTTCATCAGAGATATATAGGACACTTCCGGTAAGAGAAGAAATTCTCAAGGCTCTATTGAATGCCGACCTGATTGGTTTCCATACATTCGATTATGCGCGGCATTTCCTGTCCTGTTGTAGTCGCATGATGGGATTAGAGTATCAGTCAAAGAGGGGTTACATCGGGCTTGAATACTACGGACGGACTGTGGGGATCAAGATTATGCCAGTTGGGATTCACATGGGGCAGATTGAGACCGTGCTTCAACTAGCAGATAGAGAGTGGAGAGTCGGAGAGCTTAAGCAGCAGTTTGAAGGCAAAACTGTTTTACTTGGTGTTGATGATATGGACATTTTCAAAGGTGTCAATTTGAAACTTCTTGCATTGGAAGAAATGTTAAAACAGCATCCGAAGTGGCAGGGAAGGGCAGTGCTGGTACAGATTGCTAATCCGGCTCGAGGAAAAGGAAAAGATCTTGAGGAAATACAAGAAGAAATACAAACAAGTATCAAAAGAATCAATGACAAGTTTAGACAGCCTGGTTATGAACCCATCGTGTTCATTGATCGCCCAGTTTCTCTTAGTGAACGGACTGCCTACTACACTGTAGCTGAGTGTGTAGTTGTTACAGCAGTAAGAGATGGCATGAACCTTACTCCATATGAATACATTGTGAGCAGGCAGGGCATCCCTGGTTCAGACTGCACTGCAGAGTCAAATGGTCAGAAAAAGAGCATGTTGGTAGTGTCCGAGTTCATTGGATGTTCTCCTTCACTAAGTGGTGCTATACGTGTTAACCCATGGAATGTGGAAGCAACTGCAGAAGCACTAAATGAAGCAATTTCAATGGCTGATGCTGAGAAGGTGTTGCGCCATGAAAAGCATTATAAATATGTAAGCACACACGACGTAGCCTATTGGTCAAGAAGCTTTTTCCAGGATCTGGAGAGAACTTGCAAAGACCATTTTAGGCGACGTTGCTGGGGTATTGGTCTGAGCTTTGGTTTTAGAGTTGTTGCACTTGATCCCAATTTCAGGAAGCTGTCCATGGATAATATTGTTTCTTCTTACTCAAAAGCCAAAAATAGAGCAATATTGTTGGATTATGATGGTACTCTAATGCCTCAAACAGCCATCAATAAGGTCCCTAGTCCTGAAGTTATTTCAATTATTAATACACTTTGTGGTGATGAAAGAAATACTGTGTTTCTCGTGAGCGGACGAGGAAGGGATAGTTTAGGCCAGTGGTTTTCTCCGTGTGAGAAACTCGGCATTGCTGCAGAGCATGGATACTTCTTAAGGTATTCTTAGAACAAGTTTATTCTCATTTTGTGTCTATTTGTCATATCCCGCATGTCGGTATGTACTTATTGTCTTTATCCACCAGGTGGTCTGCAGATAAAGAATGGGAAGTCTGTGGGCAGAACAGTGATTTCCAGTGGATGCAGATTGCTGAACCTGTTATGAAGCAGTATACAGAAGCTACAGATGGCTCTTACATTGAAATAAAGGAGAGTGCTCTGGTTTGGCATCATCGAGATGCAGATCTTGGTTTTGGGTCTTGCCAAGCAAAAGAGATGTTAGACCATCTTGAAAGTGTGCTTGCAAATGAGCCTGTTGCTGTGAAGAGTGGGCAATTCATTGTTGAAGTTAAGCCTCAGGTGTGTCATCTCTTAACCTTTTCGTTCGTAGTTTTTCCAATGAACATTTTTCAACATCACCGGTTACTCCATTCATCCGTTGGATCTGCTTTAATTTCCAATATATATACTTAGTTATCCATCTAGACATGCTTTATAGTTTATTTTTTGTGCAGTACACTATATACTGAGTAGCAATATTTTCTTTTAAAGAAAGGCTGGGATGGGGGGCATGGTCAGAGTGTTTATCAAGTGTCTTTGCTGATTCTAGATGTATGTGGACATTTATTTTGAGAAGGATGTGGACATTAAAAGCTGCTTCATTCAAATATTCTCAAAATTTGTTGATCTATTATATTTCATGGAAGTAGTTAGGGGTGACGGTTGAAAATTTCCCGTTTTCAGGTAATGTTTAAACTATAAAGCTTTCCTAGCAAAGATGCTTAGAACTTTTACTTTGTCATATCATATTAATTGCATCCTGTGTCGTGACTGAAGGGCTTTTCTATTGGAGTCTAAATAAAGAACTTCCAAATGAATCTTAAATTACTTTCTTTATCAGGTAAGATAACAATGAATTTTTTAATACTGTAACCTTTCTTTTGTTTTATCATATTAATTACGTGTATGCTGTCATAAAAGAGGAAAGCATACTGAGATTAATCTAAAGTAAAAATTAATAACAAGATACAAGTATCTTTACTTTTCCCTTTTTCAGCAAGCTTATGCCTCCAGGCATTAACAATAGGAGGAAATAGCTTCTAAGTTCTACTGCCATCGGGGAAACTTGTCATTTGCATCAGTTTGTTTAAGCTAAGATGTTCTTGATACTTTCTCTAACCAAGAATGATGACTGTCAACCAAGAAAGAGTAATTGTTAGTTTTAACAAAAAGTCGATAATCACTTGGCTGGTGCATCTTAAAGTACCCTATTTACTTGTAAGGTGGTTTAGAGCAGAAGAAAGTTTGACACCTCATTGCTCTTTTTGGTTCTGTTTGTCATCTTGAGCCCCAGCTATGAGAATTACCAATTAAAATGAAGCAATTTGTTCGAGGTTTCTGAATTTTCCGCAGTGGTTCTTGAAGTTGCTTTTCTTCTTGAGCCGTGGGTCTTTCAGAGACAGAAACAGCTTCTCTACCTCCCCAGGGTAGGGGTAAGGGTTGCGTACACACCACCCTCCCTAGACCCCCCTTGTGGGACTCAACTGGGTTTTTTGTTGCTCTTGAAGTTGGTTTGATTCATAATTTCTGATGGATTATTACAAACAATTGCAGGAAATAACATTTTATCTTTAGAAATCTGCCTCACTTATATCTGGAAAGTAATTCCAGCATAATACGAAATAGGTAGGGGAATATATATATATATATATATATATATATATATATATATATATATATATATATATATATATATAGAGAGAGAGAGAGAGAGAGAGAGAGAGAGAGAGAGACTCAACACACACATAGGTAGGGGAATACATTACCTTCTCATTTTCTTAATAACAAAAATAGAGATGACAACATTCCTAATCCATGTACTTTTCAACATATATGGTTGTTTTATCACATCCATGCTCATTGTAGCTAACCTCTGCTGCTGTCTGTAGCTTTATCTAAACCTCAATTTTTGCAACATTCCAGGGAGTCAGTAAAGGTCTAGTTGCAGAGAAAATTTTCGCATCAATGGCTGAGAGTGGCCGGCAGGCTGATTTCGTGATGTGCGTAGGTGATGATAGGTCTGATGAGGACATGTTTGAGATTATTGGAAATGCAATGAATAGCGGTATACTTTCTTCAAGCACAGAAGTGTATGCCTGCACAGTGGGACAAAAGCCAAGTAAAGCCAAATATTATCTTGATGACACAACAGAAGTTAGAACCATGCTTCAAGCTCTTGCCGAGGAATCCACTCCTCCGCCCTCATCAGAAATTGTAACAGGAACCTCTGTTTGAAGTATATCCTTCGCTGCTTTCTTGTCTGAGTGCACTTCACATTGAATCGGCCCTTTGAAGTTGTCCAAAAGAAACATCATTAGAGCTTGTTCTGACGTGTGACGCGTATTACTCTCAAATAATCAATGGAGAGGTATTGTACAGAATTCTTTATCAGATGGCCAGTCCGTAGGAGACGATCAATTTATGGGGTGAGATTTAACAGATCCCAAATGTTTCAAACACAGAAGCACTGCTGGTCAAGTGGATACATAAGAGTGAAGTTGACTCTGAAAGGAGAGCAATGTCAAATGGTAATCTTCATGGCCTTCGCAACATATATATTTGTGGCATACATACCTGATTCAAGAAGGCCACACACCTCAGTTTCTTGCCTTGCATGTGGCAAAGATGGAGTATTGGTCGTCAAAGACTCGTAACTTGGATTATTAGATCAACTGTAAACAAGGTGTCTTTTCTTTTCTTTTGCTTCATTTATTTAATCCTTCTTTTTCTATTTAGGAGTGAGAATATTGTCTTCTGGATACACCAATTTGTTCGATTCTCATAATTGTAAATGTATAGAAAAATTTACCCTTTTTCTTACTATGCACGTGATAACAAAAACTTTTGCTTGTTAATAGTGACATCAATTACAGTGATTCTGGTCTTTCAATTGCGAGTTTGCAGAACAACAAAAATATCTGATTCAGTTGTAGACTGCTGCCCTTTTTTCTGGTTAGAAACTTCATGGCGGTTAATTTAGTAAGGCCTTTAAATGCATGTAAAAGAGAGAGTATAAAAAAGTAATGGGCCTAGCAAATTTTCACTGTAATTATAGCATTCAGCATGCACGGAATGTGATCATTCTAATAGATCTTTTTATGATCATGATTTTTTTTTTCTATTCAACTACTAATCCACATCTCATTCCTTTTTTTTCAAATGCACAAATATTATAGCAACTACTCGGTTGAGTCTTCAATAGAAATTGTTAGTACTATTTCTTCTAAGTAGATCCTTGCTGACCTACGCAAATCTGGTTGAGCCGCCATGGCAATCTTAAATTCTAATTTTTCCTATTTTAGGAAACGTGTGCGTTCAAGAAAGGAATTTGATTTATATTTGCCTTCGTTAGATGAAAGTTCTTAAACGAAGAACATTACCGACAACCAAGAAATAGTAATCGTTACTTTAATGCAGGGGTGACAAAATGGTTAAAAGAAAATAGTTAATCATCCATATTATCCACTAAAAATGGGTTGGTTAATAAACTTTCTAAAAACGGGTCAAATATGAATAAGAACCATATTATCCATTTAGAAAAGGGTAATTTTCGTTCATATATCGTATAGGAAACTATATTACCAAATATGTTCACAGTTTGCATATTACCCTTAATATATACAATGCATTAAATAAGGGATCATTGTAGCTTTATGATTCCTTATTTACGCGCGCTAAAAAAGGAGAATTAAATATTTTTCAGATCTTCCCCAACACAAATCACGCACAGTAATAACTGTCGTCGACTTCGTTACAAAATTTTCGTACTCTGTGTTTGCGAACACTCTGTTTCAACATTTTCTCTGATTTCACAAATCAAAATCGACAAAATCTTCTACAATTCTTCTGCAACGAAAGCAATTATGGCAAAAATACCAATTATGCTACAACTGAATGGGAATTGGGATAGATATGGGAGATTTAGAGAATTTGAGGTTGATGGCATGTAGTCGATGAGGATGCGCGTTATAGTCTATTGATTTCTACAATAGCACATCAATTAATGATTGATACATCCGGAAAAATTATAGAAATCAAATACATTATCAACGAGCATTGTCCTCCAATGGAAATTAGGAACGATATAGGTGTTCGTGTATACATGGAGACGAAAAAGGAAAACAAAAACTTAGGATCATATCCGCTATGTATAACTGTTCGGAATTTCAATATGGAATTGAGTATCACTAATGAGAACACAGCTGCATGTGTGTGTTGTTATTTTTTCTATGAAATTCTGGTACAATATCAATAAACTACATTTTATCTACAATTAATATCTACAAAATTTCTACATTTATTCTACAAATAAAACTACAAAAAACTTGATAAATTAATATGAAATACTGAATTTTAACCTTTCTACAAATTATCTACAAAATTTCTACAAACTAGTGATAACAATATTTATATTTATTTTGATGCAGGTTCGTCTGGAATACTAAAGTTACTTGATATGCCAACATCTCCCGTTATAGAGGAATATGAAAGTATAATAATAACAGATAGTACACAAAGTTCTATTGAAGTGGGACAAGTATACCAAGACAAGGAAACAATTGCAACTGCAATGAAGCACTATTCTGTCATGCACAAGTTCCAATTCAGGGTTAAAAGATCTAGTGCTAGAAGGTATGAACATATGAATAGTCAAAGATTATTATTTTTTTAATTTTGTAGTTTATTTGTAATTTTTTACTTCTTCAGTTTTTCCTTGTGATAATGTTTAACAGAATTGTAGTTGAATTGTAGTTATGTTGTATATAGATTGTATAATGTGATCGTTTAAGCTAAAAAAGTTTTTTTTTTAAATCTAGATTTTAACCCATTGTGTAAAATGTATTTATTTTGTAGCTACTGGCTGATATGTGTTGGTGAAAACTGTACATGGCACTTCAATAGACAATACATTTATACAACGCAAACCTACTGCCATGGTAGTTGGTAGCATGGTTATTCCAAAATATTCTGATCTTAAGACAATTTACACCCCATAAGACATTCAATTTGACATGTTGTCTGAACACGGCGTGAATCTAACCTACATGCAAGCCTGGAGAGCAAAGGAAAAGGCTTTACAGTTTTTGAGAGGTCATCCTGCTGACTCCTACAGCAAATTGCCTAGTTATTTGTATATTCTAGAGAAGACTTATCCGGGGTCTGTAGTTAAATTGAAGAAGACAAACGATGACTGCTTCTTGTATGTATTTGTTGCAATTTGTACGTCAATCAGTGGTTGGGAATATTGTAGGCCAGTAGTAGTAGTTGATGGGACATTTTTAAAGTCAGCATACAGGGGAATAATGCTAACAGCCAGTACAATGGATACAGGAGGTACTGAAGTTTTATTGTAGAAATATTGTAGCTTGTATGTTTTTTGTAGTGCTTGCAGATTAATTGTAGATATATTGTAGAATAGTTGTAGTTTGTATATATGTCTTCTGCATTTTTACTGCAGCCAATTAATTGCTTCTTGCCACATAATGTAGGTACCATATTACCATTGGCATATGCTGTTGTTGATTCAGAGAATGACGCATCATGGAAGTGGTTTTTTGAGCAATTCAAACTCGCGTATGGTGAAAGACCAAATATGTGTGTTGGTTCGGATCGGAATGAGAGTATCTTGAAGGCAGCATCTATTGTTTATCCCGGCATGCCACATTATTCTTGCATGTGGCATATTTGGACAAATATACGGGCAAAGTTCAAGAAGGGACATCTTAAGTTAAGTGAATTATACTTTGCCACGGCACGGTCATACACACTTGATGAATTTAATGAAAGGATGTCAAAGATTGAGGAGATTGACCCCCGTGTTAAAGCATATTTATACGATATTGGCTATCATAGATGGTCTCGAGTACATGCTACGGTGAACAGAACTTGGACTATGACATCAAACATTGCAGAGTCGTTGAATGCTGTAACAAAATATGCAAGAGAGCTGCCGATAGTAGAACTATTAGAGTATATGAGGACTCTTCTTGAACGTTGGACGAAAGAAAAATTATTGAAAGCAAAGGGTACATTCACATACCTTGGATAAAAATTCAACAAAGAGTTGGATGACAACAGAACATTGTTGCACAAGCTTAGAGTAACATCTGATTATTTATTGAATCAAATTCATAAACAGGACAAATGTAGATATTTTGTAGATATTTTGTATATTGTTTGATTTTAACCGTATATGAATTATTTTTTTGTTTGTAATGTACTCATAGGTGAGGGCTTCAACAGACTACATCCATACAGTAATAGATGGTGTGAGGCGCTATATTGTTTGTCTTGAAAACAAGAAATGTAGTTGTGGGCAATTCCAGCTTAATGAACTACCTTGTGCACATGCTTTGGCTGCTTTAAGACACATGGATGAGTCTTTTGAACAATATTGTTCTCCTTATTACACAAGGGTGAACTTCTTGCATACTTATGAAATACCAGTTAATCCCCTGCCTGATGAAAGCAAATGGAATGTGCCACAACATATAACTGAAGAAGTAGTAAATCCACCTAAAGGAGGGAAAAGGCAGCCAGGAAGACCTCAAAAAGAAAGATACAAAACATATGATGAAATAAATTGAAGGACAAGGTTTCATGCGGCAACTGCGGAGGAGAAGGGCATAACAAAAGATCTTGCAAGAATGCACCCAAAAAGAAATAAAATTTTATGTAGTTAACAGAATATTTCATAAAATTTGTTGGTTAGTTCTGGATAACAGATTTTGATGTGTAATTGTTGGTGTTTTTTAAGATCATAATGTAGTTAGTTAGGATTTTTCTGTATTGAGACAATACTTTCATATATTGATTTGTTTATGGAATCCTTTACATAGTTGTTAATGTATTTTTGCAGTTTATCTACAAAAAAATACATTATCTGGAATTTACAGAGTATATACATTATAAATCAGTAAGAAAGTAGTTAAAAACTTAAAATATTGTAGATGAAGTATTGTTTACATTCAAAAAATGAATATAAAAGAAACAAAACACACTGTTAAATATAATCTACAAATTATATACAAATATAACTACAAAAAATCTGCAATATCTGTAGCTGACATAATAGCTAGATTAAACTTCAGGTAGGAACAACCTATATGGTGAAAATAATGTAGATGAGGTACTTTATACATTCAACAAATTGAATTTAAAAGCAACAAAATATTTAGTTACTGATTTTTACACATTATCTACAAAAAACCAACAAAATAACTATATATTTTTTTGTTGACAGAATAACTGTATAAAAATTCAGTTGGAAAGGATTGATATGCTAGAAATAATGAAGATCAAGTACTGTAAAGATTCAACAAGTGAATATAAACCCAACATAATGTTTCCATTTGAACAACAATACTAGATAAGAAAAAAGAAACAAAGGCTACTATAATTGTAGCGCAAGTCTGCTACAATTAAAACAGAATAAATTGTTCAAAAACTTGTCCACCATCTTTCTTATAAACTAGCATAAAGTAAACAATTGTACTACATGTTCCATACAAAACATTACAACTACTTCTTCTTCCTCTGGACTCGTGTTTTCTCATTCAAAGCAGGTGCACCTTTCCGTCTTGCCAATTTGCCTGTCACCTCACTATCACTAATTGCCCCATGCTCCTGCTTCTTTCTAGCATAGTCCCAAAGTAGCGCTCCATAGCGTCTACGGTGTTGGTCAATATCAGAAAGGTCTTCTGGCAGAATTGATAATTCTCCAATACTAACATACTCTGCAAAGGCAGCAATAAATACACCACAATCGCTGCAAAAGATAAAAAAATGTCAATATTTACCAAACCATCAGGAAAAAAAAGGGTTAAATGTTTAGAAAGAAAGAAGATTTTTGTTACAGTGATCCTTCTTTTTGTTGTGGTATCTATCCGACGATCCACTGAATGTTAAGAGGGTCGGTAACAGGTTTCTCGATGTATGCTTTTGTATTCTTGAAGTTGATGTCTTTACGCTTCCCATAAAATCCGGCGCATAACAAATACAAAGGGATAATAATAGAAAACTTGTCGACACAAGATTCAACAATAGGGTGATTGTGTGAACAGACCATGGAATCATATGCATAAAGACACCTTTCTGCAATGTCAAAAACAACCAACACCCAGTGGAATTTTTCTACAATGTTGACGGGCATGATGACATAATCAACTTCATCCCATGCAACATTTGCGAGTAGTCTATACCCCAATATATATTCTGCTAAATGTCACGTGGTTTGACAACAGAAAACTTCTTTTCTTGAGGAGAATTTTGGAACTTTTCATAAATCTGATCAATCCTAGTCTTGAACACACAATCTGTTGTAGTAAACCTAATCTTGTTGTGGGGGCCATACTTGCCTCTTTTTCTCAAGTAATACATTATAACATTAATGTGCTGCAACAAAAACAGATTGTATTTATTCTACAAGTTATCTTCAAATATTCTACACAAAACTACAAAATAACTACAATTCATACACAAAAAGAATACAAAGAATCTATCATTCAGAATACAAACTATCTACAAATTATCTACAAAAATCTACAAAATCAAATACATTGAATCTTACCGAGTCATTGAGGACTTGTCCTGGTTGTGCCAAGGAAAAGAACCACTCCTTCTTGTCAACCTTTTCAACTCCAAGATCCAACCATGGCTTAATTTGGTTGTCCTTTATAGAATACGGAGCCTTCCTCCTATATAAACAAATAGAAATTAAAATAAAATTGTTGAATGAAGTGGATGTGTAAAAGATGAATACTGGAATAAAGGTGTCAAATTGTGCAACCTAACCTCTTTGAACCTTTGTCGGTACCGTGGTATAACCACTTGTGGAATTGATCCAACAACCCAAGGTCTACATTTTGACCAATAACACCAGTAAATGGGTGCTTGAGGTGAAAATTTTGAGGTCCAACCGAGGTGCTGCCACCATAACTGTATAAAGGGAGAAATGGTGATCGGGCATGCTTTCCCGGCTGCCTTGTTCTACCTTGCTCCACGGGTGTTGTTTCATCTTGTATAGGCTCGCCGAACTTAACCAACTAGGAGAAGTTATCAGGCAGCTCGAAATCATCAAGCGTAACCTCCTTATTCTCACCTGGGATTCTTCTGAATCACCTACATTCACATGCTCTGCCTCTTCACCTACATTGTCATCTTCTGGATTCTACTGTTCGCTTTGAGCTGCTACTGTCACTCCGTGAATTGGAGATTGTGCATGCATATCTTCCCTCTATATAACACCATGTATATATAACTTAATAGAATTATAAAAATATTGAAACAAAAAGAAAATATCTCTGAAAACAATTTCATACCTGCATTCTCTTCATCAACTGCCCCTTCAAAATGTGTATATAAATCAACACGTGCTGGATGATTTTCTTCACCAAGTGCACATTCAACATGTTCTGTTTTTTTCATTAAAAATGTTAAATCGTACTGGCTAGTATTGGCTTGACAATTTATGAAGATATGAAGGTGTGTCATAATATCTACATAAATCTGTATAGCTGTGCCAATAAGCTGGATTTAATTGTATATATTGTGTATATATAATGTAGACAAATTGTAGTTATGTTGTATATAATTTGTAGTTATTTTGTAGATATTTTGTAGATAAATGTAGATATACTGGAGATATATTGTAGATACCTGTCTTGCTGGGGCTGACCTGCACTGGTTCACCACGATTGAACTGAAATTGCTGATTGTTCTTGTCTTTCGGTTGGTCAGTATTTTTTGTTGAACTCCCAGCAAACTGTAAGTTTTATATTAGTTAGGATATATATTTTAGAGGTGACATAAATAGTGATTTTTATATGATTAAAATTCAAATGTTACCTTTGCATCAACTTGATCATTTGGACTGTTTATCACCTGCAAAACAGTCTTGACTGATGTCGCGCCTCCTTTTTCTCGCGAAATCGGGTTTATGACATTTGGGAGGACAACTCGTTCCCTTTTGGGTAATTCGGTTTGAATTGAAGAGTCGCCACCTAATGATTAAAGTGCATTAGGACACTAAGAAGGGTTTGATCTGAGTAACCAGAGATTGGGTAAGGGCTTGAAATTATCCCAACGGGGAGGTGTTAGGCACCCCTCAGGATCCACTAGTGTGGTTCCCGGCCAAACTATTGTTATGACTTAAGTGCAAATAACACATAGGCAAATAGAACTTCAAGTAAGAGGGGATTTTCACATAATGATTACAAATAAGCAAAGTTAGAAAGAACGAAAGGGATACTGATTTTTCTTTAGAGAAATAGTTTAAAATTTGGAAAAAAGAAGAAGCAAAGAATCAAAGAAACAAAGGGAAGGGGGGTCCTAGGTTTATAAATAATATGGATCACCCCACACAACATCCGGTAATCACTCCTCAGTGAGGGGCTACACGTGATGTTATCGCGTGGCCATCATATTCATATCTACCCTTTCCCACCCCGTTAAGGTATTAAAGCGGGGAATGGTCTCGTTTGCTTATTGCATGCTATTACCCGCCCCAATCCTATCAGTCCCGGAGGCAGTTAGGACTACTAATCCTAAAGGGAAGGGATATTAGGCTTGTTTATAGTTTCAAAGGCAAAAAATCTAAGGCGGCATACAAAAAAACACGTATAGCAAGTTGGGGGAAAACACATAAACAAGTGAAGGGCCAGATAGACCTCCTTTAAACCAAAGAAAGCACATAATTTAGCATGACTTACACATACTGTTTAGGGTCTGATTAAAACTTAAAGGTTGAGGCCGACTGATTTATTACATAGTTCAGATAAGAGGCCCGAAGCAGGCCTGCCTGCTGGTTGTAGCTAAGAAAAACCGATTCAGTTTATAATTTTACCCTAAGGCTTGCTAAGTGTTGGACGAAGGTCCTATAGGCATGATATCTACTGATTTCAGAAAATAATGATATAAACTGAATGCGTACTGGTTAAGAAAGGTTGCCAGATTATTAAGGAAAGCAAGTTTTAGCAAGAGATCATAAGTTCTGCAACTGATAACACATCGTTATTACTGGTTTTAGACTTATAAGCGAGTGAAGCGATTCAGACTTGATTAATAGCTCCTATAGACATGCTTTCTATGCGTTGTTGACTTTAAACCCTTTTATAGACATGGTAAAATGCCAAACCCTATAAACATGATATCTAGGTGCTGAATTTCATTTTAAAGCCTATGAACATGATATCTAGTTGCAGTTGGTTGATTAAGGCCTATAAACATGATTGCCTGATGAAGAATGTATATGCAGGATTCAGAAAGACCTATAGGCATATTTTCTATGTGCATATGCAAAATTCAGATTTCCAGGTAATTATAGACATGGTATCTACATGAGAGAATGCAGAATTCCTACAGACATGGTATCTATATGAGAAGTGCAGAAATTCAGAAATGACCTATAGGCAGGATATCTATATGAGAGTGCAGAAATTCAGAAATACACCTATAGGAAAGTTATCTACCCTTCGCATACATAGCTATCCCCTCTCTTTTTCACTAGTCATCCCCAAGAGTTCATTACAAATTATTACAGTCCAGAACAAAGTAAAAAAAAATACATCAGAAATTAAAAGTACAACCA